ACCTCAAGATTAGCATTTTTTTTTCTACCAATCTGATTATTAAAAGCCCAGCTAAAACCAAATAATGTCCTTTCCATTTCATTAGACAAATTCTGGCAATGGTCAAGGCATGGCCTTTATTCTTTTATTATTTATTTATTTAAAAGTTTTCTATACCGATCTTCTCACCTCCAGGAGGGACTCAGATCCGGTTCACAACATGTGTTCATATACAAAATACATACCACACAATGCATTATCATTACACGTTAAAACATATTACAATACATCATCATCATCATCACAATTACACAGCCAGTCGTCAAAAACATTCATGGTCATAATGCACAGTTAATCATTCTCCTTCCATGTGGACCAAAGTTGACTCAGTTGTCAAAGGCCGCATTCCATAGCCAAGTCTTTGTTAATTTCCTGAACGTCAGGAGGGAGGGAGCCGTTCTAATCTCCTGTGGGAGGGAGTTCCAAAGCCGGGGAGCCACCATCGAGAAGGCCCTGTCTCTCATCCCCCACCAACCACAATTGTGACAGTGGTGGGATAGAGAGCAGCCCCCTCCCCCAGAAGATCTTAAAGACCTTGATGGTTCATAGGGGAGAATCCGTTCGGACAGGTAAACAGGGCCAGAATCGTTTAGGGCTTTGTAGGTCAAAACCAGCACTTTGAATTGTGCTCGGAAGCTAATCGGCAGCCAGTGGAGCTGATGTAACACAGGGGTTGTATGTTCCCTGTACCTAGCACCCATTAGAAATCTGGCTGCCGAGCGTTGGACTAGCTGCAGGTTCCGGGCAGTCTTCAGAGGCAGCCCCACGTAGAGAGCGTTGCAGTAATCTAAAGACTAGATTGTGTCCGGCTTGTTTTTTGTGGAATTGCTAATGGGTCACAATTTTTCAAGGCCTTCCAGAACTCTCAATTTGAATATCACTGGAGTGGATACCAAGAAATAAAGGAAGGACTAGGACATTCAACTTTCTTAATTTCATCTAGGGAAGAAAATAATTGTTAATTTTCTTCCTGAAAGAAGCAACTAGTAATTTCAGGACTTTTTCTTCTCACTAAGATAAAGTACTTAAACCAGGCATGGATAAACTTTCTAACTTGGGGGCCACATGGTGGGCTGGAGCAGGGTAGTTGTGAGGGAGTTCTCCCCAAGTCCCTCCCTACCCTTTCTTCCCCTTCCTTTTCACTTTTGGAGGCAGAAAGTGAAGTAAAGACAGGAAATATTTGGATCTCAAAAGGGTTGATCTTGGTCAGGATGAGATGGTGGATGGGAGAGAAAAAGTGTATCCACGAGACCCCATATTGCCTACTCCTGATATGTAATCCCAGAGTCCTAGAGCTGGAAGAGACCCCCAAGGACCGGCCAGTCCAACCCCCTGCCATGTAAGAAGACACAAGCAAAGCTCTCTTCTGTGGAGAAGCCTGAAGAGACAGAGATGCCACCACACTCCAAGGCAGCCTCTGCCACTCTCCACACCTCTTACTCTCAGGAAGTCCTTCCTAATTTTTTTTCAGTGGAATCTCTTTCCCTGCCATTTGAACCCCTTGCTCCCTTGTGCCCTGGTTTCTAGAGCATCTTTTCCCCTCCTCATCCTCAATGGGACACCCTTTTAAATCTTGAAACATGATTCTCATGTTCCCTCTCTACCTTCTCTTCTCCCAGCTAAACATCCCCCAGGAGGAAAGGAGGAAGGAAGAAGAGAAAGAATGAATGGAGGGAGGAAGAGAATGATGGAAGAAAGGAAGGGTAAAAGAGAATGGAGGGAGAGAGAAGGAAGGAGAGAGAAAAGGGAAGGAAGAATGAAGGGTTGGAAGGGAAGGAAGGAGGGAAGAAGAAAGAGGGAGTAAAGAAGGACGGAAATGAGGGAAGGAAAGAGAAAAGAAAGGAAGGACAGGATGGCGAGAGAGAGAAAGGGCCCTAAAAAAAGAGCCCAAGGTGCCACATCCACCCCCCAGGCCGCATCCACCCTCCCCTGCTTTAAACACTACAACTATTAGATGTTTTGAAATGTGTTGTGCACAAAATTGACACTTTTGTACATGAAAAAGCAGGTTCTGCATAAAAAAAAGGATAGGGGCATTTTGCCTAGAAAGATTTTCTGTGCTAATAATAAAATTTCTGCACATAACTATTTGATATTCAGGACACTCACTCACCAAATAAGTCTTTTGACCATTTTTGAAATATGTTCTAATTTTTTTTCCATATCTAGTGTCATCAACATGCAGGCATGCTTCAGCCCCCCCCCCCCCGAAATTCTCATGGTGGTTCGCAAAAAGGCCTTACTGGTGCATTATTTAAACTGTTATGTTTATTCTAGGCTTGGGTGGTTTCATTCGTTAATTTCGTAATTTGTTATTAATTCGTATTTAAATGAGCTTACGATCCAATATTGAGCCATGCAGGAATAGTGTGAGGAGTAAATTAGATTCGAAACAATTTTTTCAATTTATTTCGTAATTATTTTGTAATTATTTCGTAATTATTTTCGCATGTCTGGTGCAAGTTTTATAGATGTTGTTTGTTTTATCACACCAACAGTCAACAACAGAGGGAGAGGGAAGCTTCAGAAGTTCCCCCTGTCCCATTTGGAGGTTTTTTTAGCATATTGCGCAATCGTGTCCGCCATTAACGAATCGATTCGTAATTATACAAAATTTCGTATATTTCGAATTTTTTAAAAGGAAAATTTCGGAATTATTTTAAAAAACGAAACGCAAGGGCCCCCTAAAAACAAAACGAGTTTAGAACCAAATTTTTCTGTGGTTACCCAAGCCTAGTTTATTCATATCATGATCTGATCACCATACTCAATATATCCCATATGCATGGGGGTATTGGGGTAACAATACAAAAGGTTTGCTAGGCTAGACCCTCTTTCACTCAGACTCAGTCCCCCCCCGAAACTCAGCCCCCCCGAAACCCCACTGAAAATTTTTTAGCCCCCCCCCCCCAAAAAACAAAATCCTGGCTACGGGCCTGTCAACATGGCTATGTTTGCTCCAATTAAGTTAAGACAGCAACGACAGAACTCAATCAGACGTTATCCAGCAGTAGTTTATAACATGACTTACCTGGAAGGATCAGAAGCATCCATGAAAGAAAATAAAAGAGAAGCTGAGAGTTGCTCATGGTTGTCGTTGGGTTGTTGTTTTTGGTTTTGTTTTTTTTTTGCAGAAAATTAAAGCAACATGGCAATTTTTTTCCAGAGTTAGATGATTTAGATATTCATGTACCAACAAAATAATTTATTGCTGAAGCTGGTCATATGTGAATTAGAAATGTTTGCTGTTTCCTTTCCTGGGAAGGACTGTTTTCTTTCATGGGCAGAGGCAAATGAAATCTTAAAAATGTGTGATGGTTATCTTGAGCAATTAGAGCAGAAAGAATTCTAAAAAATCTTGAAAACTTCAATCAGTGTTTGGTACATAGCAGAAATTAATAATTTGCTTAGTATGAAGTGTACTGCTGTCCATTTGATCTGACAACATTCTTCAGAGATCATTTTGAGGGTAGATGGGAAAAAAGTTAAGAGCAGCAATTAAATATGCAGTAGTTAACGGCATACTTAACCCCAAATGCACTGCCTTTTACTGAATTAGAAGGCTGCTATAATGGAATCGTTTATAATGAAAGAATAATTTTTTGTGATTACAAATAGGTGGACATGCGGTATGTGAAACTTCTGATAAAATGAAAATCATGTGTAGTTCATGTTTGATCAGCCCACAAACTGCCTTGCCAGAGAAAAGAGAATATGCCACGCAGATGATCAATAAAGAACAAGTAGTTTACTCTTTGTAGTCCAGAACAACATATGTACAATCATGTGATCAGTTGCATTAACTCACATCATGTCCTTTCATGAGAGATTTAAGATCGTCTTTCTTTGTCCATGTGGATAAACTCCTTCAGCAGCTCATGAAGCAAGATCACACTCCAAACTTTGTCTCTGTTTGCTTCTCTCTGCAGGCACCTCCATAGCTCAAGCCTGATAAATGTAACAGTATCCAAAAGTCCCAGGCTTACACAGCTCCCCAGGCGTAGTTCGACCAATCAGTTTCATGCGTCTTATTTTACAGTTGACACATACACACTAACTGATTTCTTTACATACAGTCCAGACAGTAGTCCCATAGTTTCCAAGCTAAATTAGCTCAGAAAACTGCGAGAACGCCAATCCCCCCCCCCCAAAAAAAACCCACCAAAGCCCTTTCAAAAACAAAAAAAACCCTTACCCAGTCACCATTAGAGGCATGCTGGAGCTCTCCTGGTGTGTAGAAATGATGTGCCAGGAGAAAGGGGGGAGAGGGGGAAAATTGCTCCTCCCTTCTCCTTTCTCCTGGCACATCATTTCTATGTGCCAGGAGAGCACCTGCACCCCTCTAATGGAGGCCGGGTAAGTTATTTTGTTTTTAAAGGGGCTTTTGGGGGCTTTTGGGAAGTGAATTAGAGTGTCTGGGTGTTCTCCTGGAAAGTTCCGGGAGAACATCTGGACACCCACCCCAGAAAGCATGTGCTTTCTGGGGTGGGTGTGGATGGTTTCCTGAGAACATTAGAAGTTTTTAAACATGAATGTTCCCGGGAATACTGCCTGTCTGGAACACCCTGAGTGCTGCATGTGTTGCTCTCAAACTTATAAAATATGAGCCAAGGTTAGAAAAATGATAAGCATGCATACAACATTAATTATTCAAAAACATGCCAAATACAAACTTTTACCTTTCAATAAAAAGTTGTTTGTGTCACTGAAAGCTCTGTTATTGGGTTTTTCTTTTAAGATAAAATATGTTAATGTTTGAGTTGTTTTTCTTCTGAACTAAAACCTCAGTATTCAAGTTAAACTGCCATGTTGGCACTTTGTGATAAATAAGTGGGTTTGGGGTTGCGGTTTGGGCACTCAGTCTCTAAAACCTTTGCCATTACTTATCTAGGTTATATATTCGTACTTATAACTGGAATGAAAACAAACACATTTCATCCCATAAAGAAGATGTGTAAATTTCATGCAGGTTTTTTTTTTATTTCAAAGAGGTTAATGAAAAACACAAATCCACTTTGCTTCAAGCTTTGCATTTCTACCGTTATGGTTCTGTTAGAATCCAAGTATATGACTTTCTGTTCATGCTTTTTTAAGAGACGGAAGAGTTAGATTTGCAGATATTCCCAACTGAAACAAAAAAATGAGATGTTTAAAACTTTATTTGGAATATATATTTTTTTGAATACCCAAAGTGCTGCTAATCCCTAGGTTCAACATTTCTCTCTAAATTTATTTGCTGTGTTTATATACCACCTTTCTCACCCCTGAAGGGACTCAAGGCAGTTTACAACATTTTAATGGCAACAATTCAGTGCCAACATAATATAAAATATCATAACTAAACAATAACATTTAACCAAGGCTATGCATTGAAATAATTAAAACCATTAAACATAAGACATAAATAATATTTAAACATTAGGACAAAGCATTAAAACATCCTAGTATAAATATTAAAATCACATGATCCAAAATCGTAAACTGTAACCAATCCAATTGTCATTGCACATATTCTCGGATTATTCTTTGCACTACATTACTTTAATGGCCAAAGGCTTGGTCCCATAAACAATTCCATTACTTTTATAGGCACTTTGTAGGACTCGTATTTAATCCTAAAACTGAAACCAGAAGAAAGCTGACCATGCAATATGAATAGACTCATGATTGGGTTATAGACGCTTTTTAGGCATCTGCTTCTCTGGGCTTGAGACCAGTCTACATGGGCTTAATAACCTACACTCACTGTGTGGCTGATTCTGGCTGTCCCTGTGATACTCTGGAATTTCTGGTTTCTATCATGGAGCAAAACTGGTTAACTTAGTTTAGCCTTGTGTTTAGGAAAATCAGGGGATGCTCAGAAATTTGACCAAAACTCTAGAGTAATCCCACAGCTTTGACTAGTATGGGCAGCAGGACTGAGTCTGATGTGGGCCAATCCATGGTCCACACAAGTCACTGTGACCATTCCCTTTCTTTGCACTAACCAGAAAAGGAAAAGGGGGTGGATCAGATACATATCACTGCCTTTTGCCACTATCAGAGCTTCTGTCCATTGTGTGTTCCCCATGTTGATTCTCCTGGAGTTTGGGCAGCAGTAATGGTGATACTGTGGGTTGGGGACAGAATATGTGACCATAGTTTAAATGGCCAGTGTAGATGAACCCTTGGTGGAGGTGTGCAGGCCTCGCCTTCAGCAAGAAATGATGTTATCGGGACCATAGGGACCACCAAACGCAGCAATGCCCAAACACAAATCAAGGAACATGAAAGGCACTGCAGACTACTTCAACCAGAGAAGTCAGCTATAGCAGAGCACCTGATAAATTAACCTGGATACAGCATATTATTTGAGAACACAGAAGTGCTGGACCACTCTCACAACCACCATGTCAGACTACACAGAGAAGCCATTGAAATCCACAAGCATGTGGACAATTTCAACAGAAAGGAGGAAACCATGAAAATGAACAAAATCTGGCTACCAGCATTAAAAAACTCTAAAATTAGAACAGCACAACAACAGAGAGGAAACAAACATGGACATCTAATCACCTCTCAACAAAAGATTTCTCCAGGCACTGCCAGGCAATCAAGTGCTAATCAAGGTGGTCAGTTGAAACATTCACACCTAGCTCCAGCAGACAAAAGTCCTTTGTCCCACCCTGGTCACTCCATAGATATATAAACCCTTTTTCCTAGTTCCAACAGACCTCACTATCTCTGAGGATGCTTGCAATAGATGCAGGCAAAACGTCAGGAGAAATGCCTTTAGAACATGGCCATGTAGCCCGAAAAAACCTACAACAACCCAGTGATTCCAGCCATGAAAGCCTTCGACAATACAATGTTATCAACTGGCAGGTTATTGGTGTTTTACATGTACTTTCAGTTTTATTATGCATTAATATTTTTGGCCAATGTGCAATATCCATGATATTCACTTTTGGGTAAATAAATCACCAGGTGAACTGTTGACAACGAGACCCTGTGGATGAGAGTAAGAAAAAAATGGCTGTGAACTTTAATAAAGAAAGACTTTTTTACCTTACACAACATGCACCTCTATCGCTACATGTTCCATAGTTGTATGTATTGGATGAACATAAATAATCAGGATCTGTTGGGTTTTTACAAAAACCGCTTGTTGCTTGACAGTCTTCATCAGTGTATATTAGACTAGAGAGAGAAAAGAAACATAAGATGGTGAAAGAAGAGAGAATGAGAGCAGGTCTTCAGAACATAGAGATTATGGTAATTATCTTGAACTTCTCTGGTTGCCACATTTACCAGAACAGATTCCTCCATTTTTCATGCATTCAGAAATATATATCTATATATTTAGATAAAAATGCTCTGTTTGTTTTGAGTGATATCATAACTCAAAAACCGCTGGACTAATTGCCAACAAATTTGGCCACAAGACACCTACTAACCCAAAGAGTGACCATCACTCAAAAAAAAAAATAATTTTATGGTGGACCTGTCCAAAAGCAACATCCTATTGGAAGAAGATACATAAAACATTACAAAAAATATTAGAGATAAATATACCCCAAAACCCAGAAATCTTCCTACTAGGAATACACAACATAAAAATGGAAAAAAATAAAGACAAAATTTTATTCTTGCTGACAACAGCAGCTAGAATAGTATATGCAAGACATTGGAAAAAGAAAGATCCCCCAAAGGAAGAAGAATGGTTAACAAAAATATTAGATATAAGAAATATGGACAAATTGACGTATCTACTATAAAAAAGAAGGGCACCCCATTGGTGGAAATAGACTGGGAATATGTAACAACATACTTAATAAAAGAAAAGAATATGAAAAGAATTATTTAAAGGAACATGACTGGAAATATAGAAATAGGGGAGAGCAAGACATAAAAGAAAGAGAAAGAAGAAAAAAAGGAACAAGAAGGAAAAGGACAAGGAATCTCCAAACGATACCAGGAAGTCAACGCAATACCTACAAAATCACGCACCCCCCTCATACCTCACTATTCATTTCTAATTTTCTTTTCTCACATCCTACACACAATAGGAAACCAGCGTCTCTCAACACAACGAGACCCTGGATAACAGGAAATCGGACACCCCCCCCCCACTATACCTTTATCTCTAACCCCCCCTTTCCCCCCTCTTTTCCCCCCTCTTTGGTTTTCCCTACATAGTGAGAAACTTTTACAAGTCTAAAAGTTTCCAGCACTGTATCTATCTATCTGTTTATCTGTATTTTTAAGAAAAGTAATAAAGATTATTTTATAATATAATAAAATAAAATAATTTTGTCATTTGGGAGTTGTAATTGCTGGGATATACATCCAGACAGCACTATGGACTCTGTTGTCAGTGAATGCTATAAACCAGAAGACAGCAATATCTTTAGTATAGTCTGAGCCAGGCATGTAGCCGGGGGGGGGGGGGGGCTTGAGGGGCTTCAGCCCCCCCCCCCAGAAATTCTCATGGTGGTTCGCGAAAAGGCCTTACTGGTGCATTATTTAAACTGTTATGTTTATTCATATCATGATCTGATCACCATACTCAATATATCCCATATGCATGGGGGTATTGGTGTAATGATACAAAAGGTTTGCTAGGGTAGACCCTCTTTCACTCAGACTCAGCCCCCCCCCAAAAACTCAGCCCCCCCGAACCCCCCTGAAAAAAACTCACCCCCCCCCCCGAATCGAAATCCTGGCTACGGGCCTGGTCTGAGCAGTCTTCACATGTTGATTGTTATATTTTAATTTATAGCACAACTGAATCTGATTCTTAATTAATCTTTATTTATTTATTTTGTATCAAAAGCATTGCATAAATTAGTATAAAACAAGTGGTTCTCTCACAGTTAGCAGCAACTTCTGTCTCACATTGGGTGCGGGTGGGCAATGCCAGCTAGCTTGTAGAGCTTATCAACAGGTGTAGGTTTCAGACATCCTGTGATTATTCTGCATGTATTGTTCAATGCTATGTTCACCTACTCCACTTGGGAAGACTTGTGCCAAACAAGGCAAGAGTACTCGGAAGTTGAGTAAGTCAAGGTTAGGGCTGCTGTACTTATTAATTTTGGGTCTACACCCCATGTGCTGCCAGTAAGTTTCTGCGGTATGTTATTGCATGCAGCTATTTTGTGCTTGGGGTTCATGCAGTGTTACCCTAAAAAGTCAACTCTCACCCTTTGCAATGTGCCAGGGCAATGCACTGGTGCCTAGTCATACTCTGCAATGTTGAAGTTTCCTAATCTGCATGCAGAGGCGGCCCTAGGTAATTTTCAATGGTAAACAAATAGTATTTTGGCACCCCCCCCCTCCCCCAATCAATCACTGTTTTATATTTTCTGTTCGTCGTGGGAGTTCTGTGTGCCATATTTGGTTCAATTCCATCATTGGTGGAGTTCAGAATGCTCTTTGATTGTAGGTGAACTATACATCCCAGTAACTACAACTCGCATATGTCAAGGTCTATTTTCCCCCAAGAACGCCTCAAGAGCGCCCCTGGGCAAAATCAACTATACTGCAAATGATTACTTTGCGTAATGGGTTGAGCCGCCCCTGTCTGCATGAATGACACTGGAGAATGCGGCCTACCTTTTACAGCAACTCCAGTCTGTGCCACATATTGAAACCCTGACAGTAAAAGGGGGGCAATCAAATCGAGGCAGGCACATTCCATTGTAGACTCTGCATACTTCCATATCCAGTAGAAATAAGTCTGAAATCTGACAGTGTCCTAAAAAAAGAAAGAAAAATTATTATTATTTATTTATTTACTGTATTTATTTATATACCGCCTTTCTCAGCCCAAAGGTGACACAGGCTGAGTTCTTAGTGTTAAGGAACATGAAGCACTAGAGAATCTTACAGAGCTTCTGTTTCTTTAAACTTGCATGCTAGTTGATTAACTGCGCATATCTCTGGAACAGGGATGATGTATTGGAAGGGCCTGTCTGTCACATTCACCCCAAACAAGAACAAAACTGTGGCACACAAAGCTCGTCATTTTAAATATAGCTAAACAAAAAGAATCATAGAATCAAAGAGTTGGAAGAGACCTCATGGGCCATCCAGTCCAACCCCCTGCCAAGAAGCAGGAATATTGCATTCAAATCACCCCGGACAGATGGCCATCCAGCCTCTGTTAAAAAGCTTCCAAAGAAGGAGCCTCCACCACACTCCGGGGCAGTGAGTTCCACTGCTGAACGGCTGTCACAGTCAGGAAGTTCTTCCTCATGTTCAGATGGAATCTCCTTTCCTGTAGTTTGAAGCCATTGTTCCGAAGAATCACCTTACATATCAATATTTGATTTTGAAACTGTTTACACCAGCGTTGCTCAGCCTCATATGAGAGATGTCGGTCTGCAATTGCTACTTTTCCCAGTCAGCAATCTGACAGGGTTCAAAGGACCAAAGAAACAAAAAGAATATTGAAATGATTCTTCAATACAATGAGGTTCTTCATTCATTGGCATCCCATTCTCCCAAAGGGGGAAAATATGTTTTTTGTCAATTGACGTTAAATGCAATCAAGTTGCCTTTGACATATGATGATGCTATCAATGAGAGGTTTCAAAGAAACAGGTTGAGTCTCCCTTATCCAAAATGCTTGGGATCAAAAGGCTTTCCCCCCTGGATTTTGGAGTATTTTGATTTTTTGGAATGCCAATATTTGCATATACACAGTGAATGAGAAATGGCGGAAAGATAAGAGGGAGGGGGACTCTGCTTATGAAAGACCCCTTCATAAATCCCACCTTCCATGACTGTTAGCACATCTTTTGCCTTTTTAACCCCCCCCCCCCAACATTATGAATACTGCTGATGTGTGGTTTGAACTTTGAATTATGATTCTAGAGAACATAATTCAAATCACCATGGAAATCCATAAGTTGATCTTGAGCAAATGACACCATTGCAGGGTTGTTGTAGGTTTTTCTGGGCTATATGGCCATGTTCTAGAGGCATTTTTCTAGAGACGTTTTGCCTGCATCTATGGCAAGCATCCTCAGAGGTAATGAGGTCACTACCTCACTACCTCTGAGGATGCTTGCCATAGATGCAGGCGAAACATCAGGAAAAATGCCTCTAGAACATGGTCATATAGCCCGGAAAAACCTACAATAACCCAGTGATTCCGGCCATGAAAGCCTTCGACAATACATTGGACACTATTGGAGTTTCAGATGGTGGCAATAGCAAACCTCTTCTGAACATTTTGCCAAGAAAATCTTATGATGCATTTATCTTACAGTTGCCATGGATTAGAAATTACTAGGGCTGTCCAACCACGGAAAAATTTGTTTCTAAATTCGATTCGTTTTTAGGGGTCTTTTGCGTTTCATTATTTAAAAGAATTCCGAAATTTTTCTTTTAAAAAGTTCGATATTTACGAAATTTCGGAAATTACGAAACAATTTCGAAACAATAACAAATCGATTCGTTAATGGCGGACGCGATTGCGCAATACGCTAAAAAACCCTCCAAATGGGGCAGGGGGAACTTCTGAAGCTTCCCTCTCCCTCTGTTGTTGACTGTTGGTGTGATAATTTATTTTTTTATCACTGATAAAACAAACAAAAACTATAAAACTTGCCCAAGACATACGGAAATAATAACGAAATAATAACAAAACAATTTCGAAACAATTACGAAACAATTTCGAAACAATTACGAAACGAATTGGAAAAATTCATTTCGTTTTTTAGTTGCTCCTGAATGGTTCAATATCGCTTCGTTATAAAAAAAAATAACGAATTAATAACGAATTACGAAATTAACGAACGAAACCGCCCAGCCCTAGAAATTATGTTAAGGCACACAATGACAATCACATTCAAATAAATCAATAACAATTCTAATCCACATCTATATGCATCCAAGAAAGCACAGAAAAGAAAAGCCAAAATACCTTCATCTTTGCTGGAAATTAAAATAGTATAAGAAGCTGTAGGTCCATAAGCTTATGAATTCCAGATCCACATATTTTTCTGAGTTCAAGAAACTATTATCCATGGACTATTGAACAGATGATGTAAAAATCGGAAATGCCAGTCTTCTTCCTTATGGGCCAAAAGTACTGGCAGAGTCTTGTTGTGTCTATTATATAATAGGACAGGATGGCCGACTTTTGAGTCAATTCAGTCATGCATCCCTGCATGGCAGGTTACTGAACTAGATCTGCCTTGTGTTTCTTTCCAACTCTAAGATTCAATGATTCTATAGTTTGAAGGAGTCTTACCCATGACACTGATTGGCACTCTTAAAAGGAATACCCAACCAGGGGCAAGAAAACATCCCTGGACACTTTGCTCAAAATGGCTGGCAATGAGAGGCATGTGGATTTAACCCTTTCACTAACTGGAGCCGTGGTGGTGCAATGAGTTAAACCCTTGTGCTGGCAGGACTGCTGACTGCAAGGTCAGCAGTTCGAATCCAAGGAGAGTGGGGTGAGCTTCTCTCTGTCAGCTCTAGCTTCATATATGGGAACAAGAGAGAAGCCTCCCACAAGATGGTAAAATATCCGGGAATCCCCTGGGCAATGTCCTTGCAGACGGCCAATTCTCTTACACCAGAAACGATTTGCTGTTTCTCAAGTCACTCCTAACATGGAAAAAAGCCATTTGGTGCATAGGAAAGACCACGAAAAGCACATATCACCTATCTGAGTACTCTCACCTTGCAAATTGTAAGAAAAGTAAGTGCCAAATGGCAAACTTAACAGACCATGAGAGGGTATTCAAAAAGTTTCTGCACATTTATATTTTTGTTAGAAACTATGAGAGCATAAGTAGTAGTAATTGACCATGTCTGAGAATGTCATATGACTAGTTTGTTTGGCAAGCTGGCTGACTTTGCATTTTAGTATTAGAGTTATCACACTGTGCTGAAGATGGCTGCAAAACTTATAACCTGCAGCAAAGAGGAACAGTGCTCTTTCATATGTTTTTTGTGGGCAGAAGTTGTGGCGGGAGCACAAATTCATCTTCTCCTGTGTGCTCAGTATGGGGATAAATTTTTCTTTCATTGGGTCATCTATGAGTAAATTGAAACGATTGAAAATGGCCAAGTGAGTGTGGTGGATGTAGAGTGCTCTGGACATCCAGCTTCAGCTATGACCATAAGGAATTAAGAAAGAACCCTGGAACTGATTCATAAAAACAGGAATAACAGTTGAAGAGAGAGACAAGGTGGCTTGGTATGCCCATCCCACCAAGAACTTGCCACAATTTATTATGATCCACACAGTCAAAGGCTTTAGAATAGTCAATGAAGCAGAAGTAGATGTTTTTCTGAAACTCCCTGCCTTTCTCCATTATCCAGCGGATATTGGCAATTTGGTCTCTCGTTCCTATGCCTTTTCTAAACCCAGCTTGAACATCTGGCAACTCTCGCTCCATGTATTGCTGGAGTCTTCCTTGCAGGATCTTGAGCATTACCTTACTGGCATGAGAAATAAGGGCCACTGTACGGAAGTTTGAGCAGTCTTTCGCATTTCCCTTTTTTGGTATGGGGATACAAGTTGATTTTTTCCAGTCTGATGGCCATTCTTGTGTTTTCCATATTTGCTGGCATATGGCATGCACACCTTGACAGCATCATCTTTTAAGATTTTAAACAGTTCAGCTGGGATCCCGTCGTCTCCTGCTGCCTTGTTGTTAGCAATGCTTCTTATAGCCCATTCAACCTCACTCTTCAGGATGTCTGGTTCTAATTCATTCACCACACCGTCAAAACTATCCTCGATATTATTATCCTTCCTATACAGATCTTCTGTATAGTCTTGCCACCTTCTCTTGATCTCTTCAGCTTCTGTTAGGTCCCTGCCATCTTTGTTTCTTATCATACCAATTTTTGCCTGAAATTGACCTCCAATGTTTCTAATTTTCTGGAAGAGGTCTCTTGTCCTTCCTATTCTGTTGTCTTCTTCCACTTCCATGCATTGCTTATTTAAAAATAGTTCCTTATCTCTTCTGGCTAACCTCTGGAATTGCGCATTTAACTGGGCATATCTCCCCTTTTCACTGTTTTCTTTTGCTTTCCTCCTTTCTTGGGCTACTTCCAGTGTCTCAGCAGACAACCATTTTGCCTTCTTTGTTTTCTTGACCACGGAACAACAGACTGGTTCAAGATTGGGAAAGGCGTACGGCAAGGCTGCATACTCTCACCCAACCTTTTTAACTTGTATGCAGAACACATCATGCGATGTGTGGGGCTTGATGAATGCAAAGCTGGGGTGAAAATTGCTGGAAGAAACATTAACAACCTCAGATATGCAGATGACACCACTCTGATGGCCGAAAGCGAGGAGGAGCTGAGGAGCCTTCTAATCAAGGTGAAAGAAGAAAGCTCAAAAGCCGGGTTGCAGCTAAACATAAAAAACCAAGATTATGGCAACAAGAATGATTGACAACTGGAAAATAGAGGGAGAAATCGTGGAGGCCGTGACAGACTTTGTATTTCTAGGTGCAAAGATTACTGCAGATGCAGACTGTGGCCAGGAAATCAGAAGACGCTTACTTCTTGGGAGGAGAGCAATGTCCAATCTCGATAAAATAGTAAAGAGTAGAGACATCACACTGGCAACAAAGATCCGCCTAGTCAAAGCCATGGTATTCCCTGTAGTACACCTACGGATGTGAGAGCTGGACCTTAGGGAAGGCTGAGCGAAGGAAGATCGATGCTTTTGAACTGTGGTGTTGGAGGAAAGTTCTGAGAGTGCCTTGGACCCCGAAA